GGGCGCTGTCGGAGGGTCAGGGCCGAGGGGAGCGGGCGCTGTCGGAGGGTCAGGGCCGAGGGGAGCGGGCGCTGTTGGTCGAAGTTTGGGGAGTGGTTATTCTGTAGCCTGATAACAGAAATCCGGTTGGAAAGATTCCATCTCATGTGTGCCACGTCAATCTGTGACCCCCCCACCCCCACCCCCACCCCCTCCACCTTTCTCTCCCTTGTGAATCTCAGCTGAGATGTTGTGGGGCAGTGAGAAGGTCAGGGCTTGTGGCTGGTAGGAGCCCAACACAGAACTGTGTTCCCCCATGATTTCTGACCCTCTCTCCTGGGAGGTCTGGCCTTTTCACTACCACCTGCTGGTCTGAGACTTGACCCTCCCCACCCCCTCACCCACAACCCTCTGAACCTACCCCCCTTTCCCCCCCCCTCCACAAGTGCTCCATGATGAGGCATAACTTTGGCATTATATATGCCTCGCTTGAGCTGTAGTATCATCCAGAAGGAAAAGATGCTCAGTTCGATCCCAGATCTTGGGATTAGTTTGGGGGCGGGGGGTGTGGTCTGAGGAATTTCGAGGTGGAGTGGGGGGTGTGGGGAAAGAGGCCCCAGCTTGGGGGGTGGTGCCCTCCTCCAAGCTCTCAGTTTGTCGGAGATGCCCCGAACCCTTCGGAAATTCGGTCAACCCAGTGGAATGGATTTCTATTTTTATTGAGCAGTATTAAAAGTTTTAAAGGGGAAAATAAAAATTAAACAGGGATGGGGTGTTGACGGGAGTGGGGTGGGGTGGAGGGGGGTGAGGGGGGAGGAGGTGAGGGCCAGTTCAAAACTGAAGCGAGATGGGCATCCTGTGCCAGGAGGGTAAGGGTAAGGGGTCAGTTCCAGTGTGGGTAGCGTTGGTAAAATGTGGAAACCATTTCTGTGTGCACTGTAGAGGAGACAGAGAGAGAGAGAGAGACTCACCTATGACAGAATAGTTAACGTGGCCTTTCTGCCCGTCACGGCTTGTGCCAGCTCTTTGGAGCATTTTCTGACCCAGCCCTTTCCCCCGACCACTCACTGTTTCCAAGTGATTAATCCTCCTGAAATGCCCCTGTTGGAGAGGCTGCGGTGGTAATGTCCCTGCTTTAGAGGCAGGAGTTCAAATCCCACCTGCCCAAGAGCCCTGAGCACAGACTACCGCGCCCCTGCCCCCCACATTTCCAATGCTGTCTCAACTTTTTGATCAGAACTCTCTTGGTCTTGGGTCCATTTACCAATTTGGGGGTGGGGGGTAATCCCACTCTGTCCCCATTACCTCTCCCCACATCAATAATCCACTGGGCCACCTCCTCTCTCCAAGGATAGGAGCCCCAAAATGGTTCTTGGTGAATCTCTCTCTCTCTCTCTGTGTCTTTCTCTACCATCTTCACACCCTCTCCCCTATGGCACCTTCCTTGTGGGGTTGTGGGAGGTGGAGGGGCATCATACCTGCAGTCGGGGAGAGGTTCCGGTCTGGTGAGCAGGCCATTCAGCCCATTGTGCCTGCACTGGGAAGGTGTCTCCCAACAGCCCATTCCCTTGCTTCCCCTGGTCTGCAGTCTCTTCCCTTGGGGGGGGTGCGGGGAGGGGAGAGGGGGTGCCGTTGCTTGCTTATCTGCCCCTCCTTGCATGGGGCCAGGGGTTTCTGCTTGTGTTGGGATGTGGTATTTGATGGGGGGGGTGGTTTGGGGTAAGAGGCAGTGGGTTGTGCAATAGAGGTGGGTGGGGGGGGATGATGGAGGAAGAGGCGGAGGGGGTATCCCCGAAAATGGGAGCAAAGCCTCAGTGCCCCTCTTTCCCCCACCCTCACCTCACCCACCCCCCGAAACCGGTCCTCCCTATGCATTGCCCAGGGACACAGTCTCTACCCCTAACCCCTGCAGTGCCCCCACACCCTGTCACCCAAACCACCCTCCCCTCATTGCCCTCGCCCTGCCCTCCTCCTGTCTCACCAACTTCTCTGTAATGACAATCACTGAAAAATGTTACTGAATGTTGTATTCTGAGCTGGCAGGGGGACTGAGAGGGAAGGGGTGTCATGTTGGAGCTCTGTCCCCCAGCCCTTGATACCACACTGTACGGTGATGCTTGTATGTTACACACTCGCTGTCACAAGCACACACTTACATACACGCCCTCTAGCACTCGCGCACACACACTCGCTGATACACACACACACTCGCTGATACACACACACA